CGAAAGAGAAAATATTTCTAGAAACCTTTTCGCTCTCACTCTAGAAAAGAACACAACAACATAAGTCGGGGAACATTCATTTATGCACTAATACAGTATGCACGGTTGGGTTTTAAAATCGTGTCAAAGGGGACGAACGTGCCGGACCACCCCCCCCCCTCCCTCCTTGAATCTAACGTGTATTGTCATGAGCACATGTCAACCGACGTAATATAGACAAGTTATAATGTGTGCTGACAACAAGGGATGCTTGGTTTAGCATTCTAGATTTGTGAGAGAGATAAATGGATTTATTGGCCATATCCCATGTCGTTTTCAGCCGATCATATTCGGAGTGGAGGAGAGGTTTGGGGAAGGAAAAGTGATAGGGTACTTCCGCTTGCCTGAAGTATTCCAAACTCGTATGATTCGTGTTCAGGATTATATTATATCCGCGTGGATTAATGATATAGTTCACTCCGAGGTGTTTAATTACCAAATTGTCTTAGTCATTCTTATTTGACTCATTCTAAATGGGCTATTATGGTACGTGGTACATGTACATCTATAGGCCCCCGTATTTGGAACGGAATCCCATAAGAGGATTGAGGTCTATTGTGACGCAACTTTCTCAACCCCCCCCCCCACCCCTACACACACACACACACACACACACACACTTTCTCTCTCTCTCTCTCTCTCTCTCTCTCTCTCTCTCTCTCTCACGCAAACAATGGAAAGCACTAAACACATTCATGAGACGTGTGACGTCAGAAGTTGGTTGTAAAGTTAAAATATAAATGTTCTACTCTTATTATCAGCACAAATTCAAGTACAGCCTTTAATGGGACAATGGTCCATTGATGTGGGTATTGATAATAAAAACGCTCACAAAATAGGCCTATTTTTCACCTTTACCAGAGCTGAACTTTCTCTTTGAAAAAAGATAATTCCTGCTCTGTCATTCAGGATATTCCAAATCATGTAATGACAGATTTATTGCTTAAAAGCTTAACCTGTCAAGCCTGTATATACAATGGATCCATAGCGACTTAAACTTCAAGTCGAGTACCGTGGTCATGTGATTGCATTATATAAAAAATAAACTGTTGGAAGTTCTTTTGGTTCTTTTGCACGACGGTAAGAATAGTAATTGTTGTGCATTGTGAAGTTCCGGAATCATCAACATTATATATCAGTTGCCTCAATCAGGTTGAAAATCACACTGCAAAGCACTGCATACAGATATGGATACATGTAGATTGAATTTACCCAAAAGTCAAATAAAGATCTGATCTAAAGATTTAGTCTATTATTACTTATTTTGGGCACGTGCGGGCATTTCAAGAGCGATGCTCATCCTGCTATTATCGTATTATCTACATGGGATATTATAACTCATATTTTATCACAATTACCAAAACTCGACTTTCTCTTTAATGTAACGAGAGAAGAAAGTTGCTCGCAGCATATTTGGAATATGACTTTGCATTGACCTCTTTAACAGTGAGCGATGAGCATTCTTACTAATTAGATTTGAAACTATGAAGTCAAGTGAGTCAATACACCATTTTGATGGGGTGGCGGTCTACCTGCCGACAGGTTATCTGTCAGTTTTCTATCAAGCCTTCCCCCTCTAAAACAAAAGGGAGTTCTAGAATTCCAAATTGCCCATTACTTTATAGTAAATAGGGTAAAGATTGATTTTGTCCGTTTTGAGAAGAGGTTCTAAAAGGAGAATTTGAAGGAAATAATGGGGTTCAACTTCGCTGATAGAATTTTGAACGGGGTTCCCCACCCCACAGCATTTCGGGCCAAGTACTTAGACAACGGAAACAACAATAGCAGCAGCAGCATCAACTAAAACAAAACAAAAAACTAAACTTAAATCCCTCAAAAAAGGGGAACAATTCTTCCTACACCCTACCTGAACTGATTCAAGAACATTTTAATATTAGATAATCACATTTTCTTTCCAGTCCGAAAATTAAATGTCATGGTAATCCTTGACATGAAATTAGTAGAAAATAATTGGATTTAAATAATGTAATGGCTAATAATAGCAGACGTTAGTTGATTCATCTTTTCTCGGTTGATTCGTTAAATGAATTCATTCTGTGGAGGATTGTAGTTATTCCCTTGACCAATAATGTGCCACCTGACCTGATTGGTTTTCGGTCTCGTTGATGTCCATTCGTAATGCAATTCCAATCTAATTCATTGACGTGCTAGTGGCATAGCCAGAGTCGAGTCAGGGGACGGAGGAAGAGGTTGGTGGCATGTTTTTGGTGGATGGATTGCATCCGAGGAGGAGGGTGGGGCGGGAGATCTGTGGAGTACATGGAACACGAAGCATGGAAGTGATTTTATTTTATCCGTCATGTTCTGATTTTCGCTCTACCTTATAAACCCCCCCCCTCTATTTCTCTCTCTCTCTCTCTCTCTCTCTCTCCCACTCACTCACTCCCTGCCTCCTCAGACCTCCCCATATCTAATCCATGTCACCTCCCTCTCCTCCCCGCATATCCTATTCTCCCTCTCCCTCTCCTCACTTCTTTTGTCTTCCTTTTCCACTTTTGCCTTTTGATTTTGGGGCACGTATTCCCACGAGCCGCCCCCCTCTGTTACCCCAACACTTATGCAAAAAAGGAAGGAAAAAAAGGAGGCCAACGCCTGTAGCAGTCCACCTCAAGTCGATATAATGAGTCGCTTGAATTGAATTACATGACGTGAATGTGATTATGAGAAAATGGATCCAACTCGGCGACACAAACATCAGTATAATTCAGTGATCCAGCCCATGTTTTCAACACTTTCACCCTCTCATCGGGGAGAAATCCAGGGAGAAATCCGGGGAGAAATCCGAGAGACGTCGGTGATCTGGGGGATTTCTGACACGAGTTCGTAATTCAACACAACATTGTCAAGTGCCCCTGGACGGCTTTCAACGAGAAATTGATGGGTTAAAGCAGCCGTTTGCCTGGCCCATAATAACTCACCACGGCCCTTCAAGACGTCGTATTGAACTACAGAAATAGGTTAAACGGTATAATGTTGCTCCCTTTTGACGCACATGCTGTTCAAATAAAGCTTGCGTCCGGATAACATCTAGAATTTATGTAAACAAACATGTACTGAAACCAAAAGTTTACCGTTGTCTTCTCCAAATTTCCCCGGAGCGGCACTTGTTACTAGGGGTGCAATATTGAACCTGGTAGGGTGATGTTCACATCGTTGTCCCCTTAAAGATCTGTTATTGAGCCATTCATTTTATATGCTCTTGCAAGTTCTTAAAAGAAGCAAAGTTAAGGTTTAATAGTGGAAGTTTAAGAGTGACAAATAAATGGGAGAAGTGCTCCCAACTTGGATCAATAATGGATCAAAAAAAGCACTGCTACTAGATCTGTCATGGAAGGGATCGAATTAGAACTGAACATCTGATTGTTTATTGTTTATTTTTTTGTCATGTTGTTGATAATGATGATGATGATGATGATACTGATCATGATGATGGTGATGATGGTGATAGCTCTTGTATAGCGCCGGTGTCAGCATCTGCTTGGAGCTCATTACTCTACAATTCCTCACAAATCAAACGTTGTTGATCAGCGTTTGACTAAGGTCAATGCATTGATCTATATTTGCCACTCCATACCCAGGAGAGAAGCAGGGACTGACAAAATCCTTTGTATTTGTAATTGCCATGTGCCCTCACGGTTAACATATGATAGGAATACTCCCCAAGGAGTGGAGCTGGTGCACACTGTGTGTGAATGAATACAATGACCTGGGTAATGATATATGTAAGCACCTAGATGTGGCATTTCGTATTAAGCGCTATATGAATCCAGATTCTTATTATTATTACATGTATTATCATTACCCCACACTTCGTACGTGATTGCATACACGCCTTGATCATCAATCTTATAACGGACTAACTCCTGCGTCGAGTTAGTCCTTGATCACAGAAGGCCAAGTCATGTCACCCTGGTATCAATTTCCTATTTTCATTCCAGGACTTTTTGTGTTGGTTCTTTTTGTTACACATTTACATTAAATAGAACAGATTGGACCGGTATGAAATGTATCCTTCATGAAAGAGTGGACTTTAATTAGTTATGCCCAGGTGTTAGCCTTCGGTATAGCGCTAAATGTAGCAAGCTTATACGTAGCCCTCTGGCCCGACAATGCTTGATTTTGGTATAGTTTTAGCACGTCAGTCGTCGTCGCTTTCTTCCTCTTGATATTATCATTATTATTGGTAGTAGTAGTAGTAGTAGTAGAAGTAGAAGAAGTAGTAGGAGTAGTAGTAGAAGTAGTAGTAGTAGTAGTAGTAGTAGTAGTAGTATTTGTAGTAGTATTGTTATCATTGTTTTTATTATTTGTATTATTATTATTATTAGAAGTAGTAGTATCATAACTTGTTATTTTTATTTATTACTATTTTCATCATTATTAGTTATTCTATTTTCATTATCATTATCAATGTTATCATTTTTGTTATTACTATCATTAATGATATTATTATAACCATAAGCATTACTATTTATATCACCATCGTCTCAATTATTATTATTATTATTATTATTATCATCATCATTGTTATTATCAATACTTTGTTTTGTTATTGTAATTATTATTTCATTTTTCAGGACAATAATTTCAGAATGGTTTGCATAATGTTATACATCTTAAAATGCAACGTTTCGGCGGGCTATGACGAAAGAAATTAGGGGCAATGGTCTCAACATAGAGCCGGACGATTTAAAAATAAAAAAAATTATTCACGATTTTTTAGACAGAGTAGCCTGATCAGTATTAAAAAAACATACAAACATACAAATGAAATATAAAGTGCAAATTAACAAAGGCTAAAACATAAACATTTCATAAATTGTGACAAGATACAACAAATACAACTTGTTTGTATTTATGTATACAACAAATACAACTTGATACTACATACCCTGTCACTTAATTACTTAATTTGTCCTTGTTTATAATTTGCTTTTTTTAAGGCAAGCTACCATAATACAAAATCACGCGCAGATGAGTTGGAGGAGACGCTTCGAGAGGTGAGAGGTGAGAGAAGACTGGTCCAGACGGAGAACGAAGCCCTGGCCGTCAAGCTGGGGAGGGCTATAGAGAAGGGCGAAGCAGCAGAAGATGAGATTAATAAGGTAAAACACATGGAGAGATTGGGCCACCCCTCCCCTGTTGCGACAAGGAGGGCCCTATATTCAGAATTGTCTGAAAAGCCGGCAGAGATTGTAGGTGCCTTCATTTTGATAACAAATTTGTTGTTGTTGTTGTTATCTTTAGGGAAAGAGACAAACAGACAGACATAGTTTTTTATCTGACTGTCTGCACCCCTCCCCCCCCCCCCCTCTTAGTCGGATCCGGTCCTGATAATTCCTGTGTTGATTATTAAGTGATGTATGGTCATAGAAATAACTGAAGTGTGTCTGTCAGTCTGTCTGTAAACTTCTTTGTCTGTCTGTCAACATTACTATATTACTCTCAATTTGTCTTTTCTAATAACTTTTTATCTATTTTTTTCTCTCTTTTCCCTTCGATTTCATATTTCATTTTCTATTTGCCAACCCTCTTCTACCCCCCACCCCCTCTCCCCCTCTCTCCTTTACCAGCATTTATTTTCCTTTGGGTTTATCTTCATGTCTGGCATTCGCTCTCTTTTTAGCTTCTCCCATATCCCCAGGCTAATCCATGTTCGATTTAGTCGGACTACCTTTTACCGTAACTGGGTCACACACCTACAGCTATACTCTCTCTCGTCTTTCCTGCAAAATATGATACGGTAGCATGCCATCAAATAGTATGACTCTCTTTTAAGGTGAAATAGAGAATTTGAAAGAAAGGATAGGGTTTTTACACCTTGGGTACTGATAGCTTGCAGTCTATGAAATAAAAAAAGTATGCTTGCTTCCCGTCTCATATGACCTAAATTACTTGACTTTTCTCAGGGGGTCAAAAAGATTTATTATACTCAGGTACTCAGATTTATGCTTTGCCCTCGTACCCGGAAACGGCTTTCCACTTAATCCTCAAATTGCAAAAGCGCTCTCTGAAATATCATTCTAATCCTATTAGATGCCGGTATGGGACATCAAAGATTTGCTAGTTATTTTCCTCTTTTCTCTTCATGTATCAGCTGGATGTAGAGTAGCATTAATTAGCATAAATACAATGTAGAGCTCTTATAAATATTGTTATCGACACTTTAGAATTAAATGCGACTTTCTCAATTACGATTTTTTTTTCCAGCACAAAACAAGACATTTGGTTTGTTTTTCGCCCACGTGAAGGACCTGAACAATACATTCCGAAATCGCAAATCGTCTGTTAGGGGCCAGGAGGTTCCCTCTCATACTTATACACAGACTTTAATAGCGCCTTCTCTCATTATCAGTAGAACAGAAAAAAACATACAGACTCTATCTTTGCCTATCATCTGTCTATTGGCATATCCTTATTTAAACTCCTTAGTCTTTTAATTTTCATTCACTTGTGGATTAAAGTATATCTCTCTTTTTTTTTGACAGCTCAAGGCGTACTACGGTATACAATCCGACACACCTAGAGGAATTTTAGTACCTCAAGCTCATACTGCTCCAGTTCCAAAGAGAAAGGTTATCAAGGCAGAGGTAGATCCTATTCAAATCATTCCTGAAGAGGAGTTGAGGACAGTACGCGAAGAAATGCACCGAGGACATGGCCATCGAAAGTTACCCTCGAACGTTTTACCGAGGACAAGGGAAAAGAGTGTCTTTGAAACTGTTCTTGTGTCACCACCTACTCACCAGGAGCATGTCCAAGCTACGAACCGTGATGAAGTCTGATCATTGCCTAATGAATTAAAGGTTAATGATTTTCCCTGGACACCCTATGAGTGAACAAGGAGTCTCACCCTGGTATATAACGTAGACTTTCGACAATGTTGTCTTTGAAATTGCTCTTGTATCACCCCTTCATAAGGCATATGTTCAGGCTGCAATTCATGATGAAGGCTCACCATTATCCTGTGGTTCTTTGAATCACTGAGGACGTACATACCAAAGACTAATTTAAGTAAAATCTAAGATACAGGACGATGATATCTTCGAAACTGTTTCACCTTTTTGTGTCACCTCTTACACTGGATAACACGAAAAAGCGACGTACCGCGATTTCTGAGCATTCTCATGTGGAGCAAAGACTTACTTTCGGAAATACTTTTAAAAAACCTTTGTAGACCAAAGAAAGGTTTGTCCACGCTAACAACAACGTCATCATAGTCGAATGGAAATAGTGACTTTGGAATAGTGACTTCGCCGATTCCAGCGGAATATTCTCACATTGTTGCCGTAGTTCTAGTTATTGTTATATAATATATATATATATATATATATATATATATATATATTTTTTTTTTTTTTTGGGGGGGGCAGATTTTAGAATATTACTGCGATATGTTATTAGTTAGACTAAAGACAGCGGTGTTTTGGTGTTTTGGCGTTTTGTAACGCTCTGTAGTGTATTCACGAGGTAACGTTAATAGGGGAGTCCAGGAAAAGTAATCCAATTTGAAAGTTGGTCCTAGGACAGGTTCATTTAATGAGCTACATACTTCAAATGCATGTTCTTCAGAATCCCTATAAGCCAATCAAGATGAGGAAAATATCCCCAACGAGTACAGTTTCTACGCTAATAACTCTAAATAAAAGGACATTTACATCGTGGGGTCAAATTATTGGTTCATAATACGTATTTTTTCAGAGATGCGTTGCTCAAATCTCACCTTCTAATCCAAGTCAAATAGATGGCGCTAGTCCATTTAGAAATAGGGAGAGGTTTGAATATTACAAGCTGCAATAAACCATTACGATGTTCTCCTGTTGATTTGTGTGTGCAATTCATAACGTATTGATTATTTGTATTGACCATAATTACAGTCATTTTGATACCGATTGTGAATGTAAAGGAATTTCCAATAAGGTGTGCAAATCATGAAAAAGAAGTTTATAGCAAATATTTTTGCAAGCTTATTTAGTTAAGTAACATTATTGATTGTATAAACAAAATTGATATTTTTACTTTATTTCCGACGTTTTTATTTTGTATCATCATTCCAATAAACCGTAATGTCTTTCAGAATAGTTTATCCTTACATGACTCCTTCTTTATGGGCCGTGTCACAGTAGTTTCACCAGTATAGTAAAGCGAATCTGGCGTAACCCTGCCTACAGAACCCAAACCTCCCCCCCCCCCCCCAAACAAAAAGAATATAGAAAAAATAATAAATAAATAAATAAATAAACAAAAAATATATAAATACAATTTTAAAAACATTAAAAAAATTAATATGTCAAATATTGTGATTTTTTTTGTGAAGCTAACTTCCTATCCATCCCCACCCGTTCCTTAAAACGATGGCATGACTATGGCACCCCGGGAGATCGTTAATTTTATCTACCCCCAGGGGAACATTTTGCAACACTATCTACATCACAGAAAATTAAAAATCTCGCACGTGTATTTTCACTCGCATGTATGTTGCACCCTTACCCCCCCCCCCCCCACTCCCCTCCAGTCTGTCAAAAGCCCGCATGTAATTGTACCGCACCGTTACATGTTTATGAATGATGACTTTAAGAGTTCAATGTGAGTTTATAAGCTTGATAAGAGTGCGCCATCTTGTTTTGTGTGTGTTGTGGAAAAGCATTGTGAAATCAGTAAACGGGATCAGAAGGGCAGTTGAGTGAATAGTATTTTTTTTTTAAAGCATTATGAATTAGTGGCCTATGGAAAGGGAGAGAGAAGAAGAAAGACATGGATAGAAGATAATGAGAAGATGAGAAAAGTAAAGTAAAAAAAGAGAAAGCACAAACAAATAAGGTGATGATTATGATAATTATGACGAAGACGATGACGACGACGACAATGATGATGATGTCAATTTATTTAGAAAGATGGGCGAGAGATGGTATTTGAAGGGAGAACAGGAGAGTCAGAGACAGAGAAGTAGAAAAAGGAAGAGAAGAGGCGATAGTGGAAGAGAGGTAGGCGGAGGCATCTCAAACCAATTTAATAATGCAGTGATCGGTGTCAATTTTAACTGTGAAAGACCTTCTAAATTCGTTGGTAGGCTTTAATACTAGGCGCTTAATAAAATCCAGATCATTGGCTTAAGTAATTCAATCAAAGATTTGAAGGAGAAATAAGTGACTCGTGCAATTAAGGTGTGAAGTTTGACCATGAATTATGTCAAACCATGACTGCACATTACACATACACACGTGACATAGCAGGCTGAGACTATTTGGTTTAATGGACATACCTAAATATAAATTCGAGTCCTCTTTATACGATAACATTGTGTACGGGTGAAATAAAAGGTATGGAAACAAATGGCAGAAGTTGATTATATTGTACATAATGATTGATGTATACTGTGAAGTTTTGGAATGATCAGCATGAAAGAAAATGGACTGAATCATGCAGAAGATATAAATTCACTGCACACGACATTTATGTACTATATAAACATGACTATATTATACAAATGTTTGGTCAAAACTTTGTAAGCTATGTATTGTATTTCGAATATGATACCGTTTCAAGAGCAACCCTTTTCTGGAAACATTTCAAATATTCGATTTTTCCAAACTGATATGGAAAAAAAGTAAGAAATACCTCCTCTCAGCATATCTCTGTATAGGGATGTGACTCTGTCCTATTTTGGTAATCAATATTAATAGCGAAAACTTATATATGTTTCCCCCTCTCTATGTATCTCTTTATATCCCCTTTTATCTCGCTCTATTCTCTTTTAACCATGTTTAATAAATACGCATTCCCTTACTTTCCCATACTTCATCTTTGATTTCCATAAATGGGCACAAACGACTTTTGAATTAAAAGAGAAACACGATACATAAAGGCACCACTATGTTTTATAATGCAGCTGTACGTGCTGTGAGGGAATGGTGGACACTTTCACCTCTGACAAGGCGAGAGATTTTGATGACCCAGATAACTACAAATTCCAATTATTATAAATGCTCCTAAAGGGGACATACCCATGAATCTGCAAATATAATGGCACGATTGACTGAGAAAACATCCCCCCCCCAACCCGTCATGATGATGGCAATTTTTAAAGGGATGTTACATTTTCTGACGAGTGCCTTGGTTTTCTAGTGAAATGTGCTCCCTCACTTCAATCTACTTCTTCCTTGGCATTGTTAACATCCAGGGGGTGTTTCAAAAAGATCCTAAGTCGAACTTAACTCTAACTTGGATTTAAAGAATATAGAGAGCCATATGCAGCCTTAAAATCAAATATCTTCAAAAGCGAAAATTCAAGTATTTTTGATTTTTTTATTTTATTATAAATTCCACATCAAGAACATGACATCCCTGTTGGTAATAGAAATATTAATGATTTGAATCAACATTTTATGCCTTTTAAAATAATTTTTACAAAATACTCTCATAGATGCCAATGGCTTTCCATAATTGTTAAGTCCAACTTAGAGATAATTCAACTTAGGATCTTTGTGAAACACCCCCCTGAGCAATTAAGGAATAAGAGTGGGTCATAAAATGATAGAAAGGAAGGGATATGCAAGGCCGTACGTAAATGCGACGTGCTTAACTATCCTGACTATCGTACAGCTCCAACCAATTTAAAAAATAAAAAAAACAGGAAAAATTCCTCTATGTGGCCATGCCGTGAACCATAATGCACGGCCCTACCGAATATTATTTTCTGTTGGGGGGCGGGGGAAATGCAATGAATTTTTTGACAATTTATTGCATTTTCTTCATTTTGGGGGATTTGTGGAAGGGGCCGCGTACCCTAGCAAACACTGCGTACAGTCATGATTCAGGGGCTAAGCAATGGCCTCGTTACTGTGAGGCCCCAGGATAAAAATCGTGTCGATCAGCTATATATTAGTGCCCTTTTGTGAGGCACTAATCCTCATTACTGTCAATTATGACTTAAGGACGTAGGTCCCTTATCGGATTAGCATAGTAGCACACATATGATTTAGCAGTCACGCAAAACAAACACTCGCAAATCAATATTCAATAAAATCTGAGAATGTATGCCATTATCTAGATCTATTAGAAATATTTTTTTTTCTCAAATCCTTCCCTAAACTGGGGTAAAAATAAATATTCCACCATTATGACCAACAGTGTATATATATGTATATATATTCCTCAAAAGTCAAATCAAATTAGTTACATGTACATCATTTTCTGAAGATTTGTTACGCTTCTTCAATTAGCTGACGATGATGAATAAGTTGTTTTTAAGCACTATTGTCATTATTATTATTATTATCATTATTATTTTTTTATTTTTTTAGTGGGGATGAGTTTGATCCTCCATTACAGAATGTTAGGATTGAATTCCACGCCTATACTGCACATGTGTATAGTTCTTAGTAACATTTCAAAATCAATCCCCGATGAGATAATACACTGTATTAACATTCATACGTACTCACAATACATTGCAAATAATACAAATATCTTACTTCTTAGTCGTTTTTTTTCTTCACCTGTAACATATTGTTACGGACCAATCGGTCTGTCCTTTTTTATTTTAAGAAAACGAATAATGATATTATTAATTCTCTAACGTTATACAATTTTTAAGATAGATACATGGCTTATGCCACGTTCTCGAGTGTTTCTGATAATCATTGCCTTTTATATTGATGACAATTTTTCATTTCAGAATTTCTAAATAAGTTCCTTAAATAAGAAGATCACAAATATGTCAACTAATGTATCACTAGAAACTGGTAAGCTAACAGATGGCCATCGTACAAGTTTTAGGTCAACTACATATCGGGTAATTTATAAAAATACAAATACAACCACCTCCATAGCAGCTGGGATATACGAGAGATTCGCCGGGAAAATAACGATGTTTTTAATGACGTCACTATATGGACCATCACTGCCCAAGCAGACGACATCCCATAGAGAATGAACATAATTGCAAAGCTATTATTTCTCAAATCATAATGAGTTTAGTGTATATAAATGTAATAGCATGTCAAACCATTTAAAAGGGGATATGACCAGATTCTGATAACTAAAATCTTTTGCTTGTAAATACACAGGATAGGGGTTAATTAACAATCAAAGAAATTAGACTTTCAAATTGAAGACCCCCCCCCCCCCCCCCGGAATGATATTAAGGACGGCATTTTTTCCCTCTTGAAACGCCGAACATACCCCGGTGTGTGCAGCTGAATATACAATGGCGTCTGATTTTGTTTACAAGCGAAATATTCCTTTATTTTTGTATCGCTGCATTTGTCATCAAAATAAAACCATGCGCGGGGTTTAGAGTGAGGCAATAGATTATACATTTAGCCTGACGGTAGTGAAGTAAGAGAAAGAACTCAAGAGAAGATGAAAACACAGGCACTGAAAATGTGTGAGATGTCATGGGATATCGTCTGCTTGTGCAAATCGTGTCCATAATGTGATCTCACACATCTCAGCAGCGTTCGGAGAGCTCTTCAGGTGCTATGCCGGGGCTGTATTTAAGCGTTTTGTAATTTATAATAATCATTACTTCGAATGTTTCCAAGCATTGAATTTTGATAACCTTGTCGAATCAAAGTTTCAACTTTGCAATAATGAAAATAAAGTTAGTTTTTAAAATCAATGAATATCTACTTTAAAGGGATAGTTGAGTCCTTGTTTCAGACCGCAAATGCCTTCAAAGTGCAAGTTTATTGCTCTTATTCTTATTTATGATATTCTATTGCTCTTTTACGACCTAAAATTGCTATAAAGGTAATGTTAGACCTCAAAATGTGTGAAATTGAGTCCATACAATAGTACCAATTCAGCTCTACTTTCCCCAAAATACGGTGAGCGTTAATTGATTAATGAATTAATAATAACAATACATGGGCCAGCTGGTTGTGCGTATTAGAACCAACACGGAACAGCCAACAAAAAGCTAACATCGGCATCGGCTGGAATAAAACATATTTAGGCGCTGTCTCGTCTTTTCAACGGCTGGTTCAAATTATCAGATAATTGGGGTGTTACACAAATATTATAAATGGTTATATTTATGGATATTTCAGCCGTCTATGAACCGATTTTGATAAAACGAAGATAATTTTTTATTTAAATTGTTCTTTCAAATATTACACTCAGTTTTTCATGATCTCAAAACAAAATTATTTTGTGTAGCGCCCTCTGCAACAAAACTCAACTATACCTTTAAATGATAAAATGTATGAATGTCTCATTTAAAAGCTCACTCACTCAAATTGGAATATGTTGGTGCTATTATACGGTCCGCAGTGCGAGTAAAGGATATCCAGTTAATAGAAACTGAGTCATATGACCGAAGTACCCTTTTGAGGAAGACAAAAAACCGAGCAATGCGGTACAGAACTTCAATTATGTTGAATTGAAAAGAGCTTTTATGAAAATGAATGACAAATTCCTAAATTGGCCAGGTACCTGTATCAATTCGAAGGCTTGCATCTGACATAAAGAATGGATTCAGCGGATTTCATTCGTATGAATGTGCGTAGTAGTATCCATGACATGACGATGTACTTTTAAAAAAATGGACATTCTAAACATACTGCCATGTACTTTCATCTTGTTCTTTTATAATATTCTGCGCACTAGTTACAATCGAATTCGGTTTTTTAAAGTAATCCCTGTTAAATGTAACCCTCCCGGAGTTTAAAAGATACAATATAATTTATTTGGCCTTTTGAATTTTAAAAGAAATCGAGAAGAATAATGACCCATACCGTTGTCAAACAACAAGAAGAAACAAATTTTCGATGCAGTTATTACAAAATTATCTCGTCACCACAGGCGGAGGATTAATGAGGGGGCTTTAATATTGTAGACCTCTTTATGTGTATGATTCACATTTAATTGGCGGTTTATCTTTGTAAAAGATAACTTAATAAGAAGGAGAGGTACGTAAGACAGATTTTTATGAGACAAGAAGTCAACTGCGAATTTGATCCCGCTAGGTATGCATGAACTTTCTCATAACTGGGAGAAGGAGACAGAAGACCAAAAATAACCCCAGTGACAATAAAGAATCAGACAGGAAATCGAGAGGAAAATGTGATTCTGAACAAGCTGAATGACGTTTGATAAAGCGAATAGGCCTAACATACACTGGTGTAGATAGGCTTTTTGTCTTTTCCAAAGCAGGCCTTGTTGAATTTTTAGATATATTCTGAAATTACTTACATAGCCCTTTAACATGTTCAAGGAGACGTTGGCTCAAATTATCGTCGTGAAAAAGTCAGACTCGCTTGAGAATATTTTAATTTTGTTCTCCCTTTGTAAGCGCTGTAGGTCACATAAGGCTGAGTGACGCCACATTTTTAAGGATTACTGAGATTGAATCATTATTGATAACATGCAATGGAATCTTGATAATGTGGAGTCTTAAGTGGCCCTTGGAATCCTTCTGAAAAGTGCTTGCCTACGTTATACAAACGTCTCATTACAAGGAGCTGGACATATCCCAAGACTGAGAGGACAGGTTAAATGTACAATTCATGTGCACTATTTTATTTATCCGGTTTTGTTTTTGTTTTTGTTTTTGTTTTGGTTGGGGGGTGGGGAGTGGTTCTGTCAAGGAAAGTTTGTACTTCAGTTCTCCCTTTATATTTTACGCCACAAGGATCCCAAATTTTAAATAATTATTAGGTAAAAATGTCGACACTAGCGTGTGTTTATTATATAAATATAAATACATATATATATATATATTACACACGCTAGCTTCATATATGACTAAATATGTATATGTATTTATGGCATTGGGGATTTATTCTTTGTCGTATTCGTATTCTCCTTCTTTTTTGTTCTTTTTTTTTCCTTTCTCTCTTTAGGGGGATGGTTTAGGCCCATGACGTAGATATGTTTCATGTTTTATTTAATTAGAATTTTGTTTTCCAACAAATTTGTGGATTCAGTCCCTACTAACTAAACCTTTGAATTAACCATATTGCAAAAACAATAAGACATTATCTCGGTCTCGAGGTCTCGAGCGAGACTAGTGGAACATAATGACTTCCTATCTTAGGAAGACGTAAATGCCATGTTAAAACCGCTGGCGCCGTGCCCGTAGCCTTGCAAGATAACGCATACCATCTACAGCAGACCTGCAGTGCCTGGAGTGCGTTCGCTCTTAGACACCAATGCGATTTCCCGCTCTTTTGATAATACATCTTTACACGAACGCTTACATCTCATCACGCACGCATAAACACACACCCGCACGCACGAACGCAGAGGAAAAAATATACACACCGCACAACTCGATGAAAGTGAAGGGCGATAGACCTTTTAAGCTTTGCGTGTTATTCGCGAACGGGACAGCGAGTTGGAACATTGAAGAACAGGGTAAGTGCATATTACACTAGCTTGTATCTGACTCTAAAAGTAGTGCATATTTGAACGGTCGAAATTTGAGCCTCTGCATTGTAATGCTTCCCAAGAGGAGAATGACTTGAAGGGCATCGATGCATACGACTAAGACACACTTATTGCTCTAATGCAGGGATGGGTGTGATAGTGTGGTCATTTAAAGGAATTCGAGAGGACTGGGTAGGTAGAATCTTTAATATCGCTTTGTTATTTGCAATATATGAGCTTTTTGAGTGTGGTAATATTGCTCAGTTATTATACAGACTTTTTAATTAATGATATCTTATACATATTCAAGATAATGGAGCTACTTTTCCATAATAGTTGGGCTAGTTTTTGGTGTTTCTGTGTCTGTGATACAATTGGCTTTTATATCATTTGATAAAGAAAACACTCTATGATCTCATGTAATTGATCAAATTATGATGAAAAGAATATGTTTTGTATAAAGAGGAAAGAATGTGAAATTGTTTATACAATATATGTTTGAATAAAGACAAATTTAATTAGGTTTAATAGTCAATCAAGACGGGCCCGAAATATTCTATCCCTCAAGTACAAATGTAAAATATAAGATGAAAATATGATATTTTGTATATATCATGATACTGAAAATATTTAATTTTTGTCTTCTTCCAAATTTCGAAGTTCACGCCACCTTTACATCTGTTCACCCCAAAGCCCTTTTTGTAGTAAATGCACTCTCCTGCTACGCTACTGTCGAGAGGTTTGATAAGCGTATTCCCTCTTCCCAGTTATTATAAAAAGTCGTGTGGTTATATATTATGTTTTATTCATAAATTGGACTATGAGAAATAGATTAATGGCTTTGGCCTTTCTTTCGTCTACCATGATGATACAATTCATATATCCTCACTTAAAGTGTTCAGATTGTTTTCCCCTTCGTTTTAAGAATTTATATTGAATGAATTAAAACATAATGATTGCCATGCATATTTATGTGGATATATTGGGTCAATGGTCATAATGGTATCGTAAGAGCCAAAACGTGGAAAAGGTATTGGTTTGGAAGTGAAAAGAAGAAGTTTACTGTAAAAGGAAGGATGAAAAGGAAAGTGGAATGAGAGAAAGGAGGGATACAGGTAATCAGAGATGTCCAAATAAAGATAGGATATGCATGAAAACTTGTCGGATTACTTTAATTAATAGGCTCAGAGTAATAGGTTAACATTTCCTATTTAGTATTTCACTAAAACATGAATAAAGTTTCAAGGCAACAATACAGCTGCAATAACATGTAACTCTATAACTTACCCGTAAGTTAACCAAATATGATGTCCTATTTTCATCAGTATCAGAGTGATGGATTAATATATCTAATCCAGTCTTTCAATGTCATTTTCATAAATATTCAATGCAATTACAACAGGTGTTCTTGCATGTAGCTATGCAACTTTAAATCGTTCGACGGAAATTTGACACAATATCTATGAAGCCATTTTGCTTTTGACGCGTGTGACTGCAGGTAGAGTGTGTTTGTCATACTTTATTCATATAAGTTTAGATCATTCATCATGATAGTGAATGAAGGTAATGTCAAACAGGTGACATGCTTTTCCATGTCAACTTGCCGGCAGGTGTTCCCTTGCTCTATTCCAGCAGCTTGACTATTTTTGTTGAGAAACGCCACGAGCGTATGAATTATATATGGCCTAGTGGAACGAGGTGGTAAAGATATACTCCCTGCGGAAAGCAAAAAAATGTGGTAAAAAAAAACTACATTTTCCAGGACAATAAATAAGTCTAAAGTGCTGTAGTTGTAGAAGTGTTAACCAGCACTTCTACAATTTCTAGGTCTACAGATATCCAATCTATAATTTCATATATTTGTTGACAAACTATATGCTGTGACAAACAATTATGATTGGGTAAGTTATGTTTGCATACTTTTGGATGTGTTTGGGTTCGTTTGGGCATTTTGTTTGCTTATGAAATTTAACAAAAACTAGTTTGAGAAAATGGTCACATATTTGAACATGTGCTACTAAAGAATCTGAGGAGCTTGAATAATATTAAATACATTTTTCATTTATATTGAATATTTATATGTACAATAACGCTTGTTTCTTTTGTTATGGTAAATACTTAAATCTCGAATTACAATTGATTAATTTCTTTGGATAAATAGGCCAGGAAACTGATCACCCATTACTGTCATTCGAAGAACAGCCACTTATTTTCGTTATGATACTTCAATATAAATAAATGCAAATCGAGCCATCTTGCGATTGTTTGACTTCCGGAGGCCTAGATTTTAAGTCTGGGAACAACGGACGATTGGCAGTGAGTAATGGTTCTTGATATTGGAGGTGCAGGCACAAAAGGGGTGACATATTTCACCCACTTCTCGACCATTAAAGGAGATTACACACCATCAATTTATCATTCTGATCGATGGTTCCGTTCTATTTAAAGACTTCCCGCTCCGTCTCCATTCTTCCCGCAGATGTTTGCGCTCAATGGAAAACTCGTCCATCTGACAACGCCATGACGATATCATATAAGTATGGGTATAGTAGTCAATAGTCTATCAGGCTTATGCAGGTCAAAGGGGAAGTACAGACTTTGAATGTCCTCTTTCTTCTTTTTCTTCTTCTTCTTCTTCTTCTTCTTCTTCTTCTTCTTCTTCTTATTCTTCTTCTTTCTCTTCTTCTGATTCTTATTCTAGTCCTCCTCATATTTCTTCCCATCCTCCTGATCATCCTCCCCGTCCTCGTCCTTTTACCTCTCTTCTTCATGTTATTCTTACTTTTTTCTTGTTTTACTTTATCCTCTATGTTCAAAAAATTAAATTATTCACTTTTAACATTTAATGAATAGAAATCGATGTTATTCTGTCAAATTTATCAAAAATGTTTGAAGTTTTTTGCAAACATCCGTTCTTCACGAGGCGTCGATTTACTGACAAAGGCTCCGCGTCAGATTCCCGTTGCACATGGAGTGTAATTTAGAGTCCATTGTTAACTGTGCCTATTAACGATGGGAAGGCATTGAGCCGTTATGCAGGTAACTTGATGCATTATGTCAACAGTTCATTATGCATTTTCTTCACGTATGATGTCATTGTCAGATGGCGCGTCAAACACCACACCAATCGCTGACACAGTCCTAAGGAGGCCTCATGTGTAGCCAATGGACGTTTTGCCCTGTCTATCAAAATGGAAGTTATAGGGCGCATTGGTGTTAAAGGGTAAAACAAATTGAAAATGTTAAGACGTACCTTTAAAAAATATGTTGTACGCGAGATAGCTCAGTTGGCTTTTAAGTGAGTCGGACACGTTTAAAAGGCATTAGTTCTGCTCTGTTTATTTCTGACCGCGCTGCAAGAGATCAATATTCTGAAAATAACCAACTCGAAATTCAAGTCAAATACAAAGCGGTGCTTCTACCAAATACATGTATTAGGACAAGTGGTAGGAAAAGGTTGCAAGGTGGATGATTAAGGTGTCTTACAACGCGTTGCCCGCTGTCTATGGCATAGTGGCATATGCTATTCTTTCACCTACACACCCATTACGGAATTGAAACGCATTTAACAGGTGCACATACTCAAACCTTAATGACTACATTATAGGTAATATAGTTATTGTCGTATGCATTGGAGCTTTAATTAGTACAACAGGTACATACTGCTCAAGGTGTGACGAACACTAGAACATTAAAATGACTGTGATGTTAAGGTCCTTGGGAAATTAGAAGTTGAGCACTGGTAGAGTGCCCGGCCCCCCACTCAGTGTTATTTAGGGTACGCATATGCGTGTTCCCAAGGACCCTCCTTTTCAGCAAAAGTCCGGTGTGTAAAGTCAATACGGGTCGACCTTTTTCTTATGTTATACGAGCCTTTTTCAGCACCCCCCCCCCTTTCAGCAAAAGTCCGGTGTGTAAAATCAATACGGGTAGACCATTTTCCTTTGTTACGAGCCGGAGGGTTTGGGAACACGCATGGTATCCCTCCGTTCACGGAGTGGGGGGGGGGCGGGGTAGAGTGTTGGGATATTGTTATGGTAAAGATTAGATGTGGTAAAGATGCGGTAAAGTTTTTTTTTTTTTAATGGCAAAAGTTTCCTTTCTATTTCAATTTTCTAAAAATATCACGGAAATTACAGTAGACCAATAGCCGACGAGACCAAATAGTCGAGAAGGTCTACGAGACAGATTGCTCACAAGACAGGGAAAACAAAGAAATACATTGGCAGATGTAGAAAAATGTCCCGCAATAAAAGGGAAAATCAAAGAGGAGACATGAGTGGGACAAACAAAAAATTAAAAATTCCTTGCTGAACATGCTGGGAACCTGAAAGAGAAATGCAAATAAATTCAGGTTAGAATACGTATGAAATGAAAATGGACAAAGAAAAAAAAGTTTCTCAGTCAGTCTCGTGCGAAGTCGGTCTCATGGGTAGGAGAAACAGAATTACAGGATGGACATGCAATGAAGTCTGAAAGTTAAATTACAATGTCATGGCATTCTTCATCATCATTATGAGTCTAATAATTATTGTATGTTTATTGTTATGTATAAATATGTGACCTTGAGAAAATGTGGAAATTTGCTTTAAAATTGTGTTGACTGTGATATACTGTAACACAGAGGATACAAAGTTCCAAGTACTGTACGTCTACTCTGCATGCGTGCCACAAGTACGGACGTGTGTATAACGTGTCATCATCGTCAGTGTATATCCAATTCTCTCTAATTAAATTGCGTAGACTAGATTATTTGGCAATGATCTCGGTTCATTAAACTATCGTTGATGTATGTAGGGAAAGAGATGATGCAGTAGAGACAGTAGTCCTTCGGTTGTAGTATAGGCATATCACTTTTGCTTGAAGTTTTAGCTTTTACAAACAAGGATAAGGCTTCACATTGAGCATTTTCTTTGTGTTTTTGTGATGTATGCATTTTTGAATCAGACGTTGCATTTTAGATATGTTAAAGGTAAAAGCATGTCCTATATGTATTATATTTTTAAACTCTTCATTTAAAGGTGTCATATCACCGTATATCATAATAAGTAAATCCACCTAGTTTTAAAATGGACTGCAGATGATACAACAACTGTTCCTGTGAAAATTCCCCATGGTCCATTTCTAATGCTATAACCGGGTTCCGAACTATACCGAACACTACACCTGGCCCTAACTCCTAGCCAAACATTATTTAAACTGTCATGAGGGACATTTTTCTTTCCGAATAACGAAAGTCAATCTAGTAATACCACTCCAATCGTATTCATCTGGAAGGGAAATTATGATATATACCATTTACATCATTTGTATATGTATTTCGACATTTTGTCTCATGTTCGATGTTCTGTAACCAAAGTCTTCCAAACTGAATTAAAATTAAATAGTAAGTTGATCGTTTGCCACATACCAACATACTGCCATTTTGTGTTATAAATGTGGATGTCCCCCTCTCTATTTTGAAAACTGACAGAATGCAGTTGGATGTTTACTAACTTTCTCCATTAACTTCCTGAATTTTAGTACTTTAATATATATCAACATATCAACTTGATCACCAATTGCAATTTTTATTAAAGGATTTATCTTTTACCCTTTCTCAACAGCTCCATCCTTAATATTCTGGTTTTCTCTCCCTTATCTATACAGGCAAGTTCTCTTATGGTATCTAACAAGCAGACCTGGGAAAGCTGTTAGATACATCTAATGCATGAGTGGAATAAATATACACTGCATCTCGTCAACGACCTACCCACTCACAGCTAGCTAGCTCAACAAACTTGGAAATATCAATCATTAAATGAATTCCAACCTACCCCAAAAACTAGGTCACCATCGTCGTGTTTCTAAAGCGAAGTAAACATCGAATATAAACCCGAAATAAGGGGCATCATCGTTGAAGGGAAAAAGATAGCTCCGCGGGGATACATGCTCCAGAGTTCCAAAGTACAAACAGTGAGAATAAGCCGCTGCTAAAGAGAGATGTGAAAGTGTTTTCGTAGAGTGCGTCGCTTTAAAGGCATCCAGCAGACACGTCAGCCATATAGGAAATTTTCGTGGAATATGTTACAAGATCACCCGGTAGCTTACACCACGGGGACCGTGTATTCTTCACACTCACATTACCAGAACGTGCCCATCCCATTAAGCCAAGCACTGCTTCGACATCTTCCGTAGATAACTTCCAGACGACACAGCAGGCAACATCAGTTTTTTTTTCTCTCGTTCTACACGCTTCCTGCCAGTGGACAGGGATATTAACGCGTTACAACATGGGTAAACTGGTAGCTTTTCAAATACATTTTGACCGGCAGCATGCCGTATACTCGGCGGGAGATCTCATTTCGGGATACGTTCAAGTGGATCTGACTGAAACCAAATTTCTGAGGGGTAAGTACAAAATCCCTTGGGCTACCATTTTTGTAATCTTGTTATCTTTTTATCTGATCTTAGATCTTAGAATCATATTACATGTTAAAATCACCGAAGCATACTCCTGTTGTAATGTACTTTAGAAACAGTATAAACAGGAAATGATTGAGAAGCTAATTTTACCGCTAAAAATGTAAATAAAAAATACCCGAGGTAGGGTACGTAAGTTGTACTTCTTGATATATCCCAACAAGAGTTTATATTTCTCTGGTTAATCATTCCGCGATGAAAATGTAGCATCATTGTTTTTAAACTCAGACAATTATTTGTTTCGTCATTGCGTTCTACAACAATTCTTTATCACCTATAAATGTACTCGTCGGAAATATACTTGTTTAGCACTAGTTTAAAGAAAAAATTAAATCAGATTATAAAACCAGATGATTAAAACATTCAGCATTGAAATGTTTTACCCTGACTGTAATTATCTTTAACAGAAGCTGTCCATGACCTGTTAAGTTGGCAAAGTCCTTGCCCTTTGCAAAACATGTAGCCTATATATATTGCCTCCATATCATTTGCCACTCCCACAGGACATTGTTTAATTACAATCTACCATGCATCGAAATAGAGCATGACTGATTCACTTCCCACTCAATCTTAATACGGGGAAATTAAAGAGGAGAAAGAAGGGACCAATAAGTGACGCGTTTATTATCCCATCACAGAGCCGTCGTCTACTTCTCATTAGGAAACGGAGGGAGGTGGCAGAAATAATATTATTGGAAGGCGTAATTAGGCCTTCACCGTTTGACCTGCATTATACGTGTATGTACATTCGCGAGAGACAATAGCATCTGATGGCGAAAAGGGTTCTATGGAGGGATTAGTAAGAGGTTTTCTTAATAATCCCCCATTCCTCCCATGGGTCGACCATTTTATCTCATTTTGATAGTTAAAGGTTCTTGTCGAGTGGCGACACTAGGAAGGTAAAAGTGAGCGGGATTGGGGGAAGGGTGGGTTGTAAAGCAAGGGATTTGTTACAGGTGAGTATAGGGAGGATTTTACCCCACCCCCCCCCCCCTGCATAATTATCCCGGACAACTATCCCCGGGAAAATACGTGCTAGGACAACTACAGAACAGGAGAGCAGTTGTCTCGGAGTAATAGGACATTCGTATATGTAGTTAACTTAATGCACAAATCTTGCGAACTGCATACATTACAAGCCAAAATGTTTGTCCTACCTAGCAACAACTTATGTATGCAATTTGAATTTTGTCCATTGAAATACAGTTTCATAACAGGTGTATGAAATAATTTGTAACCTGGTACTTTACACAGATTTATGCATTAAATTTGATTACATTACGAGAATTGTCTATTAAGGTAATTCTATATATGGAAGTGGTTCCCATAGGGTAGTCACCATCCTGCAAATGCTGGGGACCACATGGTGCTGTAATTTGAGTGGCTTGGTAATATCCTCATTCTCATGATCCTATCACTAATCCTCTACAACTTCGGTTCATTCTGAGATATTAATTGATGTTACTTTCATACATTGCCGCATTTGTTTTTATTTGATTTTATTTCTGCATTTTTTCCAAATAAAATATAACTGAATAACAAACAACATATACATGTAAGGTATAATACAACATAAACAAACAATAATTTCTTCATGTCAATTTTTTTTTACATAATGTATGTGCATGTAATAACGAAACTTATTATTTTCATAACATAATATCATAAATTTAAAGTATTATCCGAACTATTCTGTTGGAAAAGTGCAGGAGACCGCAATCATAAGCAAAGCATTGATAATGGGACAGCTTAACTAATTTATCGTTTAACAAATCTGTTTATGCACGCCTCTCCATGGCTGAATATACCCTTTCAAAATATGCAGGATACAATAGCCCCAGCAGTTCATTGCTGCATATATTTCATAATATCATATTCAGGAAATCATGAACATCTATTATAACCATATATAATTTTAAAGCCCCACTGAACTATTTTGGCCTTTTGGATTAGACCACTGTGCATGGTCACTGACATGTGGTTATTTCGTCACACCAGCTCTCAATTGACATAAGAAAAAGAGGATCATGGGGGACCAATTGTCACCGATTAGGCATTGTTTGCTATATAGAGGGCTCAAGTAGCTATAAGTAGTGCAGTGGGGCTTTAAAGGATGTCTGTATTCTAAAAGTACGATTAATCATGTACGGGTTGGTATATGAGTAGATTGCCAGTCACTGATTCACATAGTATATATTTTTCATTAAGGGGGACTGAAGAGTTGCCGTATGGGCCATTATGTTTTAAGGATGTGAAATTAATGTGATTTGTTAGTATGAAGGGTATGTATGTTAACTGACGAATTGTCTTCACTGCAGCAGGAGAATACAGCCTTTTCATTTATAAACGTTGGGAGAGATCAAAGAAAAAGAGAAACAAGGTTAAAAATCATACAGAACAGTGAGTACAATTATCGGTATACATAAACTGCATGGGGTATGAATAGATAAAGGTAAATAGGGTGTAGATAATAACATATACAGAAGTATAGACGGAACTTAAAAGAGGAAGAAGAAACCCACACATATACACACACACACACACACACACACACACACACACACACATATATATATATATATATATATATATATATATATATATAAAGAAGAAAAAGGGGGTTAAGGTATTTAACTGCATACCATAAGATTTGTTCTATATGTTTACCTCTTTTTCATTTGCATGATTGTTTTTGTCTGAAAAAATATCATATTCCGCAGACAAACAAATTCCCAACGAATCACTTTCATCTGCATTTTAAATTCCACTTTCCCTTCGTTCTGTCACTTGCATACACATGTCATATACATCAAGCATGTTATATGTACATCTGAAAGGGACACACATTGTGCAATGACGTGGACCTTGTAAGGAAAAATCAAGTTTCACCTTAGGCGTTTCAAAGAAACACCGCAGAGCCTCCAGAAATTCAGGAATAATAAATAATATCTCACTTGTTCCTTTCCTTCTTTCTTTTTAAAAAGGCAGCCTATAAATTATGAAAGGGGCAAAGTGTGTGGTTCTGCATGTATTCCCGGAGCGTCAACAGATCTCGCGTTCCGTCTCGTTTAAATGTCATATTTGCAATTCATCGAGTCTTAACCGCTATCTTCGCGGGTATAGTCCGGTATTGATGAGTGCCCTCGTCAAAAGCAGATACTCAATGCATATTGCATGATACGCAGCTTATGGTTAAAGTTCTCCAATGTATCGAACTTGCGCGTGGTGGTGACATGCATACTGCATAGAACGTTTGATAAGATGGGTCCTGTGTGCATCATTGCCAATGACGAAAACAATTGAGGATTAGCTCGCTCATAAGTACCTTTCAATTCAGTTTAAGACGTGATCAGTATATGCAGAGAAAATGTTCTTTGAAAGAAGGTTTATCTACTTTGTTGTTTTTGATTTTAAGGTGCTGAGTAGGCGGGTATATTAAAGAAAAGACAAGTCTATAGGTATGTCAATGAGAGAGAAATTGTTTATCCTGCAAATTTCTTAATGTAAAAGTACTACCAGCGTTTAACTTAGTAAAAAAAAAAGTAGTAGTAATGGTAGTAGTAGTATTAATATGAGGTTTTTTTAAATTAAAAATAATAAAAATAAAAATAATGATAATACTATATTGATATTAACTTTCTCTCGCTCTTTCTATCTAACTCCTTTTCATTCTAAAAAAAGAAGAAGAAATGATAGCGTTTTCACCACTTTGAGGTTATCATTTCTCTGAACGGTACGTGCTCCGTTTGCGCTCTCTCACACTCTCTCTTCTTTATATAGATTTTTATATATCTCTCTCTGTTTCTCCTTCTCCTTTTCTCTTTCCGTTTCTCTATGTCTCTCTCTCTCTCTCTCTCTCTCTCTCTCTCTATTACTCTTGTATCTTTGGATAACGCACCTACAGTGCCACAAGGGCGTACATCCTGCCTCTCTCGCTGGCGCACACCCTCTATCTCTGTCTGACTCCGTCTGTCTCTCTATATTTAGAACTGAAACAATCCTAGTTTTGGGTGAAATCGCTGTTTCTTTCCTTTCCATACATAAAACTGAGAATAATGTAGAGGGTTTTTGACGTTTCCATCATATCAAGTTTATTCCCTGTTGAGGTTAGTGACATGCCACTGTCGCCGGCGAGCCAACTGAAGACATTTAATCCTTCGACTCGTTTGACGTGGTGCGTGTCCAGCAATGAGCTATACATCTTGGTTCCCATGGTAATAAGTTGGTAGATTGATGGGAAAGCAAGAGAAATCAGGAAAGGAATGAATAAAGTGGTGTGAATAGACAATATAATACTATGGCACATGCCTACGGACCTCAATCCGAGTAACACGTATGAAATCTATCTATCTCTCTCTCTATAAATACCTCTCTCCTTATCTCTATCCCTCTCTGTGTCTCTGTCACTCCGTCTCCCCTCTCTCCAAACGTGGGTTTGTGTGTGCGCGCTCGCGTGTGTGTATACACGAAATGTGATATCAGGTTCCTTATTTGTACTGTAGTATGGAAGATAGCAAGGGTTAAACATAACACCTCTGACGCGATTCGAACTCGGATCTGTGGCTTAGAAGATAAGATTACCAACAGGCCGAAAAGACCACTGAAGGCGATACCAAACTCAGTTGACTGACACATAATTCGCCTTTGAATGTATTTATTTCATGGTAGTTGCTTCTGCTCTTTAGTATTTATTTCTCCGTCTATGTATAGATCGAGTGATGTGGTTCGTTTTATCAAACTACCCCGTAAAATCAAATGCCGATTCCGCATATTTTCAATTTAATACCTTGTGTAGTTTTCGGCCTTAGGCCAACCTCCTGTGCTATTATATTAACTCGCAAACATTGCCTCGGATTCTGAAACAAAATCCTGGATTTAGCTCATGCTGCAATCATAATTATAAATCTTAGGGCCATTCAGGATCGCCC